ACATTATGAATACTGTACTGCTATCATCTAGTCACGCAAAGTAATAATAATAAATTGAGGAGTGATCATCCGATATACGCTAGCCAATCAGCACTCTGAGTTGCATGTGCATATCGTGTTCAGTACCGAATTTTAAATTTGATTAAAAAAACTCCACTTATTTCATTCAGAAATATTTATTTTTTGTGAATTATTTCAAAGTACTATTAACTATATTAAACTAATATTAACGAAAAGTATTATTATTGGTATAAATTATATAAAAAATTAAATGTTTTTTTAGTTTATTTATTTGAGCAATTAAGATTTTCATGACATTTGGAATTACATAATTTTTTTCTTTGTAGCATTTGCATCTATTATATTTGCAACCAATTTTGCAGCAGCATCAACTATAGCCTTGGCCTCCAGAAATTGATGACATTCTTGCACATTCTCTAAGCAAAATTTCTGCACCCTATACATCTCCAACAGAAATGAAGTTTTCTTTACAAACAGTAAATTGGTTTCTGGAATATAATAGATTTAATATGCCATATTTGGTACCCAGTTTGTAAAGGTTTTTATCTTTAAACGCAACAACGACAACTAAAATATTTTTTCCATCACTGCGGGCTCAACCTACATAAGGTACACGAATCCTTACTGTATCACCAACATTAGCTGCTGTGTATTTGGAATTTGATGTATTAATCATTTTTTCTGCTTGCTTTTTAAGATTAAACAAAGCCACTTCCCTTGTTTTAGACACACTTATTTTTTCTTCTATTTTTGGATCAATTGTTTGGATTGTTTCTTCTTCAATCACCAATTCTGTAATACAGTAGAACCTCGAAAACTCGGCCTAATGTGGACCAAAGGGTGGCCGAGTTTGTGAAAATGCCGGATTATCGGGAATGGGGTTTAAAAAAATAAGTACGAGTGTTTCCTCAGAAAATATTGTGCTGTACTTGTATGTATTGTTTACTTGAGAATACAACAGAGAATAAACTGCCCAAATACCCTTAAACAAAGGAAAAGTACATCCTTTATGAAGGCATAGAGCCTTTACTACATGAAAATGAAAATTAATGAATACACTGTGTACAGTAATTTACCTGATAAGACAGACCTCAGAAAAATACTTTATGAGAGCTTTTATACTTTTATAAAGCTGTCTATAATGAAAATTAATTAACTAGGGATTTTTTTGCCCTGCCAGGGTGTGGCCGAGTTATCCGGAGTGCCGGGTTATCGAGAGCCGAGTTTTCGAGGTTCTACTGTACTAATAACATCCTGCTTTAGATTTTTTTCATATAAAGACAATGTAGATCTTTGAACTTCATCAGTTATATTGCTATGTGAGGGTGGCATTATCAAATAATCTTTTATAATGTTTTCTTGAACGGTACCTGGACTTTCAGAGTTTGAGCAACTTTGACTTACTTTGTCGATAGTTTAAAAAACTCTCTCTAGATCCTCCTCCATATTAATGTTGGTCAATGATTCGTTGGTATAAAATTCTTTAGGCCAACTTTTAACTTTGCTCCAAACATGGCCTCATAGGGGCTGCAGTTTATACCAGTATGATGCACTCAATTTTTCATCAGTTGTGCAAAACGTAATCCTTCCGACCATTTGTTAGTATTGTTAGTCTCCAATAAAGAACTAAGCATATTTTCTACATCTTGATTACATCTTTCTACCGAAACCTGACTTTGAGTGCCTGGGCTTTCCATGCACCATTTTTAACTCAGGCCACATATTACACATTTCTTTGATGACATTATTGGTGAATTCTCTGCCGTTATCGCTTTGTAGAATACTCAGCACACTGAAAATTGTAAAAATGTCTAAAAGAACATATTCTACTTCTTTAGCCCTTTTGGTTTTTAATGGTCATAGTTGAACAAATTCAGTTAGATGGTCTTGATATATGAGTATAAATTTATATTCCTCATCAGCTTGCGACTGCATATCTATAAGATCGACCTGACATCTTGAGTTCATTTTATTACATAAAATTGGTTTAACTACCAAGCCTTTCTTAGGAACATTCTTTTTTTCTGACAGATTTCACACAAGTTCAAATAAATTATGATCATCTCTCTTGTAATATTTTTATATTTCGTACTTAATTCTTTTTCCATATGGTTTCTACTGCCATGTCCAATAGCAATATGGGCATTGTGCAATATCTGAAATATTTCTTCCATGTGAATGTAATATTTAATTGCATTACCTTCTTTTACAGACATAATTAATTTTTCTAAATTTCTGATAGATGCAATGTCATATCTATGTAAACACTGATATTCTTCCAGTAACTTAGAAGTAACTTTCATTTTTGACTTTCACTCTTTGTATCATTGACAAATATGCTGATTTTGTAAAAATTTGATTGTTCTCACTTTTTTCTGCTATTAATCGGTTGTTGAAGTGATTATTCATATCACTTAATGATTCCTCCATGATTGTTACTTTTGTCAAAGAAGAAAGATTAACTACTGGTCACATAAATTTAAAATTTGATACTAAATGCAATACGCATGTGCAACTAAGATGTAAGTTCTGATTGGCTAGCGTATGTCAGATGATCACTCCTCAACGTATTATCATCACTTTGCCCGACTAGGTGGTAGCAGTATTCATGATGACCAGTCAATTTGATAAATTATTGAAATTTATTACAATGCCCGATTTTGTTAGTCATTATTCATAATGCTCATATTAATCACTTTGTCCATAACATATATAAAAAAGAAAACTTATAATAAGGTTAAATCATCCAGCATTAAAACATGTTTTATTTGATTCTATTGTTGGTCAGATTTATGGTTATCTTCTACCTGTTCAGGGTATAAATTATTTGGACAGAATTGAGAAAATCCAAGTTTATTTTATTAAATGTATTTTTAAATTAGAATAAATCAATACTGAAGATACTTTGATCCTTTGTGAATGATGAAGATCCTTTGTGATGTGTATACATCACAAAGGATTCGGAAGGCCACCTTTAGATTGCCGTTATGTCAACTCATTGTTAAGTTTTTGGCATTTTATATTGCAACTACCCAAAAATGACTTAAAACAAAGTTCCTAATTTTCAACTTGCAGAGGTATCTAAAGGAAAAGACTAGACTTGGCTTGCTTCTCTTAAAAAAATTCTGGACAGTTTGGGTTTTTCTTATGTTTTTGATGCTCAGTCTCCTGAATTGATTGACAGTTGTCCAGCAGACATTGTACAAACTTATATTGAAATAAAATTACAACAGGAAAGGTCTTTGTATTTCATTAAGCTGTGAATTGTCTACCCTGTTTCCATCAATCTTTTATATATGAAACAAATTACCAAGCTTAAAATCATTGATTTTACAACTAAAATGTAACAAATACCCATTATTACTTCATAAGTAAATATCCAAATTAATATATAAACCCTGTACCTTTTCTAATATTACTCCTAATTGTGATAGAATGGTAATACACTTTTTTATCATCTTGTAGAGTTCTGAAATCTTTCTGCCAGCAGATACTTGGCAGTTACAGAAGTATTGTAAATTAATTGAAGTCTCCATATGTAAGTCATATGGAAGTTCGTAAATTTTTTTTATTTCTTTGTTAAAGTACAGGGTGAGACTTATGACTCACCCTGATATTTTAACAAATGTAAAAGCGGTGACTAATTTCTTTTTTGTTTTCAGGAAGGTGAACCAATTGAAAAGAAATGCCACTAACAAAGGAAGAACAGATTGGCATTCTGTTGCATCGTATGATACCATTTGTGAGATTGAGGACCTGCCTTTTCGTTAATTTAAAAAAAACTTAACCAGTTTCTCGATCACAATGTTAAGAAAACATTGCACAGAAAAAGGATTGAATGTCACCCTTCTCATCAACAAATACTAAGAAATTATAACAATCCATTGTTAAAAGATGGGAATGTCAACGTTTGAACAAATAAACAGGATAAATCTAACATTTCATGAACCAAACAGTACACTATCCACCATGTTTAGACAATATCTTATCGTCCTTGCTGGCCCACCTATGACCCAACACCTGCAACGTTGTCTCCAAAAACATCCAATCACATGATCATTTTCCCAGGCCTAGGGAGGATATAACAATGAAGCACCCAAACTTTGGGGCGATCATCCCCCTGACCTGACTGTCCAGCAAAGATCTCCATTAGACCAAACCACGACCATCTTAGGCAAACAAATAAACAGGATCACAAGACATCGTCACTCGCTCCGAGGTATTGTACTTAAAAGTGCAAACTCTCTCAATCAATTAGTATATAGAAATGTATTATCAAATGAAGCCAATACTGGTAGTTGTACATAGATTTAGTTGCTTCAATGTATTTTTTGCTTTAGTTTATTAAACTTTTAAAATTTGTTAATCTGTTAACCTATCTTGACTCAGAGAACAGACCCTATTGACTTACCTACAACCCTCCCACTCAAACTATGGAACTAGCCCTCATATTCAACATTTATTTATGATTCACAGGACGCAATACATTTAATCCTAACTGGTGTCAGGTCCAGATGTTGAAAGGATCTTAAAATCCCGATGACCATTAATAAATTACACCATCCAGAGACACTTGAGCAGGTCTTACCGACCCATCGCCAAATAAGCGGTCTATAGGGAACTCCCTTGGCCCCGGTTCTCACATATTTGTACAAATAAAATAAACATTAGTCACCACTTTCACCATTTGTATGAGACTTATGATTCAACCTGTATATAAACAGCTAAACTAACTTGTATATCTTAAGTTTCCCTTATGCAAAACAAGTACAATACTGTTTTTTACTATTATTTCCAATTTTGTTCCATTCTGCTATCAACTTCTTAATTTTTCACACAAGATCAAGTTCATATTTTATTGAAATCTTATTTCTGTAAACAACATAACATACTACATATCTAGGCACAATTTTTGGTTTTATGTTAATTAAATAAAAAAATTTGCTTATGTTTGCATTATTTTTAGTAAATTATCTTACCTGGTTCTTATTGGGGAACGATTCCCCTTCACAGACTTATCTATACTTTTGTTTGACCCCCCGTAGTGGCTGTTAGGTTGATCGGCCATAGACACTTCTCAAAAAATTATTCATGCCACAATCTAAAAAATTTTAAAAAACCATCATGTATAAAAATACACAAACAATTCAAATTATTTTAAATTTAAAAAAATATTAATTTAAAAAATTTAATAATTAAATCATTTAATTTCAAATTCTCAAATTTGTCAAATATAATTGATAATTTTAAATAAATTAAGCTCAAATAATGAGCATTTAAAAAAACATTCCAAAAACAAAAAATGCAAGGGAAAAATAACAAACATTTAGCATACAAGGAAATAAAAATTCACAAATGCTTCTTAATTTTTGATAGTTCAAATAATTTCAGCTGCTAAATAATCAAATTTTATTTGATATTATTTTAGAAAGTACAACTTTCCTGGCATTAGCAAAAAATTATGATTAAAACACTAAAAAGAAAAACATTAACTAAAACATATCCTCTAGAATATATAAAATAAGGCTTCAAAACATGTTTAGTTCTCTGTTAATTTGAACCTACAATTACCAAATTGAATTTAAATTTAAAAAATAAATTTTAACACAAATTCAAATGTAAAAATCTGTTTCAAAATAGAAATTAAATGTTAATCAACTGGAGAGGCGAATGAAGTTCTCAAATATTCCTTGGGTGGGGAAAAACATCATTTTTTTTCCTTCTTTCTTTTATTTTTTGTTTAAAAAAAATGAAAGAAAGAGGAAGAAGAAAATTCATAACATGTTTTTAAAGATTCATTTCTTTTTTTTAAACAAAAAATAAATCACTCTTCCAAAAAATGTATGAATAATTTAGATTCCTTACTTTCTTTCTAAATTGATAAAGAATAATTATTGGACTGCAATTTGAAAAAATTGTAGACCTATAAATTTCAACTGTTCCATGTCCTTCCTTAATCTTGAGAATAGTATTAGATAGATGAAAGTCAAAACCAGATATTGACAGCTTAGAGGCAGGAGGCCCCAATTAACTATATATGAACTTCCAGTCTAAACCAAAAGTCAAGTGAATTCAATTCAAAACTTTTATCATCCTGAATGTAGTTACATCAATAACCAGCATGACACTATTGTTATCAGGAAAAGTATGATGTACAGGGGCAAGAAACTACAAATTTGAGGTGGAAAACACATTTTAAATTGAATAAATTAAGAATATGATTAAAAATTGCAGCCCGGCATTGTGACAATGTCACAAAAAATAATTACTCATTCTTTATTAAGGCTACTAAACATTACATGTATGAATATATAGTGGGTATCCATTTAAGCAGATATAATAGGAAAATAATAGTGTAAAGAGTAACAGTTCATTATACTACATAAAAAAAGGTTTATATTAAAAAGTTAATTATATGTAGAAGAAACCAATTACAAAATTTATAAAAATTCCTTATAGCCTGTAGCCTAGAGCCGTGATGGCAAACCTATGACATGCATCAGAGGTGACACAGGAGCTCAATTTGGGTGACATGCATCAACAGACGAAAAATTGAATAATTCAAATATTTGTTATATTATTTTCTCTTTTACAACTATAAACCTTAAACATTTTTTCTTGATTATTATTTAAATGAACATGAGCTAAAATATCTTAGTCAGAATCAGATAATATTTTATAATTGTTGGACATGTATTTTTGCTATGTCGCCGCCACTTCTATTAATTTTAGCAGGTAAAGTTGGCGCCACATCTCCGCCATGCTACCGCCATCTGTCCGTGCCATGTCCGTGCCAGACATACAGTGCAACAGTACTCGTTGAGACATTTTGCATATGACATAAAATATATTTTTGTTGGTTCTACAAACATCTTTAAATTATTTTGTATCAGGAGTCAGTGCAATAACACTGCAAAAAGTTAATAGGTAAGAAACGTATCAACGTTTTATAAAAAATGTAATTTATATTTATTTATTTTTACAGCCTTGTAATGGAGAATCAAAAAACATAAAAAGGCAAGATTGAATGAGAAAGGAAGTGGGAGTAGCAATAGCCAGCCTTTTCAAGACATATGGACTGAGCTGTACAGAAGTATCAACAGAAACAATAGATCATTGTGCATACTGTGTAATGAAACGGTAGTAAGCAAAACGTGGAATGTAAAGAGACATTTTGAAACAAATCATAGTCAGCTGTTGAAAAGAAGTATCGATGAAAGGAAGGAATACATTTCTAGGCAGCTATACCTCTATAGAAATCAATCAAATTCCATCATTAAATTTGTAAAATGCTCTACAAATTTAACATCAGTAAGTTACTGTATTGCTCACTTCCATAGCTCAGCATGGAAAAGCCCTCAGTGAAGGAGAATTTATTAAAATAATATTTTTAAGATGTGCAAGCTCTATTTCACAATATGAAAAATAAAGATGATATTATTAAAAGAATTTCTGAGTTACCACTAAGTAGAAATACTATCAAAGACTGAATAATGGATCTTAACAAAAATGTACATCATCAATTAAAAAAAGACAAATAATTATAAATATTTTCTGATTTCCCTTGATGAAACTACTGATGTCACATCAAATGCTCGGTTCGCTATTATTGCTAGATATTCTGATGGTCTCACAATGAGAGAAGAGTTGATAAAGTTAGAATCAGTGCCAATAAGTACATCAGGAAATGAAATATGTAAGGTTGTTATAAAAACATTTAATGACTTAAATATTGATATCTCTAAAATTGTGTCAGTTACGACAGATGGAGCAGCAAATATGGTGGGAAAAAATGTAGGAAAAAAAAAATGCGAACATGCCTCCACACGTTTGTAACGTAAAACAGCCATTAGAGGTGCTCCAGAGGTTAAAACAATTGAAAGTTAACGAAACAAGCTACATGACAGTGCTCGATTTTAAGGCTATGTACCCTTCAGTTAAGCTTGAACCATGCTTTTGTCACCTAAGAGATTTTTTCTTGGGCAAGGTAGAGAACGCAGCAAAGTTAAGAAAGCAAATTCTAGAACTGGCGCATTTGGCTACATTCTCGTCACTTTTCGTCTTTGACAGTACTGCATACTCGCAGCTTAGAGGAGTACCAATGGGTAGCCCAGTCTCAGGCTTATTGTGCGAGATGGTAATAAGATCTCTGGAAAATAACGTATTGCAGAAATATGAAGATAGTATAATAATGTATGCAAGGTACGTTGACGACGTATTTATTATTTGGAATAATAAACCCAGACATACGCCAATTTATTAGAGATATAAACAGCAATAATTATGGCCTGGAATTAGAACTAGAGTAGCAAAATCAAAAAAGAATACATTTCTTAGATATAGAGGTCGAAGTAGATGAAGAAGGGGTAATCAATACGAAAGTATATAGAAAGCCGACGTACTTTCTGGATTTGATATCATGGTCCTCGCATGACCCAACAAACTACAAACTAGCAGCGTTTAGAGCACTAATTAAAAGAGCATACACTCATTGTAGCAGGATTCATGATACGCGTAAAGAGCTTGAATACATCGCAAAGCTAGCAAGAGATGTAGGACTTAAGGAGAATAAAGTAAAAGCCTTAATACGAGCAGAAAAAGAAGGCAATAAAAATAAAGATAAAAGAGAGAAAAAGGAGTTCACCATAATGGAATACAGGGCTCAGTTAAGTAACATATACAGAAAAATAGGAATAGAAAGCAACAAGAAAATAGCATATAAGAGAAACATGACAATATTCCAAATGCTAAGAAATGACAAAACACCCGTTGACAGGAGGCTGATCCCAGGTGTATACAGAATACCGTTGTATAATAAGAGGCTGAATAAGGAAATATATTATATAGGAGCCACTAAAAGATCATTAAATGAAAGATTGAAGGAGCACGAAAAGAATGTAAGATTTAAACAACGGCTTTGGCTAATTATGCGATCGCAGATCCAACAGAGATCGAAATCAAATAGAGCAAGGCAGATTTCTATTTTCCACTTTTTGTATGACATCTGCCTTGCTCCATTTGATTTCGATCTCTGTTGGATCTGCAATCGCATAATTAGCCAAAGCCGTTGTTTAAATCTTACATTCTTTTCATGCTCCTTCAATCTTTCATTTAATGATCTTTTAGTGGCTCCTAAAGTATGAAGCCTGGCACATTTACAAGTGCAAAGAAAAAGGGCAAAATATAAATTTTCATGAATCAAGCAAAATAGCATCAGCATGGAAAGCGGCGACATTAAAATTATAATAATGGGCATGCGCAATTGAGAAGATTATAGAACGTGCAGTTTGGAATTTCCGTTTTGCAAATTTAAATTCTGATAGTTCGATCATGAAGGTCTGTTAATTAATCTGACCGAAAACGTTAGATAAGTGTTTAAAATAGACTGCATTTTAAAGGTATAGTGGAGTTTTTTTAAATAATAATGCAGTTAGAGATATAAAAAAAAAAAATGTAGGATTTGTGAAATTGTTTATGGAAGCTATTAGACATCCACTTATTTAATATAAACACACATAAAAACCTTTACTTGACCAGTAAAAATATATTTAATGAAAACAACAAACGTTTTAACGGCATAAGTGCTAACTTGCAGAACGCGCAAATCATTAAAATGTCACACAGAAGAGAACACGTACGAACTCTAGAAACTTTGGAAATTTATAAAGCAGGATTACGTAATAGCTGTATCAACTATAAGGATGCTATTAATATTTCGGCAGCTTGGAGGTTTGCGTATGAAGCAGAATGCCCCCACAACTCTATGTAAGGTGTTATACATCGTTTACATGTATATGTAAAATAATATTTGTGAATATTTGGGTTCACGTACGTAATGATTAATACGCATGCGCATAATGAATTTTATTCGCAAAGATGTATATGTTCCAAAATGTTTAAATATTTAAGCACAACGATTTTCGAATATCAGAATTTAAAACCTGAGGAAGACTGAGGAAGGCAGTCGAAAACGTTTGTTGTTTTCATTAAATATATTTTTACTGGTCAAGTAAAGGTTTTTATGTGTGTTTATATTAAGTAAATTGGACCAGTACCAGGTGAGAAGTAACATCCACTTATATCTTTTCATTGCATTATCCA